GCAGGTAAATTGTCATCATCGACAAAAATCGAAAAACCAAATCAAATCAATCATTGAATTCTTTTCTTTTTCTTTTCTTTTCAACAACAGCAATTTACATTTGTAATCAGTAAATTCACAGTGCACTCTATATATACGCCTACAAATGAAGGTTGATTAATAGGTGAAAATTAGTTTGTTTGTTTGTTTCTGGGAAGAAAAAATTTTAATTTCTTTTTCCAGTTATGAGCGCACCACCCAAAACAAAATTAAAAAAAAAATTCCTGAATCCAAGAAACCTATCAATCAAAAGTTGAAATGGGAAAATGGATCGATCAATCGANAATTATCATTTTTCTCTATATTAGCCAAAGGATAAATTGTTTGTTTGTGATGATATTTCGGTTGTTGATGATTTTTATTTGAAAGTCATCATCATCATCTTCTCAGCGAAATCAAAAATCGAAATCAACAACCAAAAATCGATTGATTAATCGATTTTTCTTAATCGCTAATTATTTTGAAGCTTATATGTGACTATGCCTACGGGTTAAATTCATTTATTATGCGGTTTGTTTTTTTTTCTGGAAATTAAAATCAAGTTAATATAGATTTTTGGTAGCAAAAAAAAATTTGTGATCCAATTTTTTTTAACCATTCAGCTACGATCAAGGATCAACGACGATTATTTTGTTGTTTTGGGACTAATCTCCTGATGATTATTGAAGATTTTTGATTTTCTTGTTTCTGAATTTGGAAAATGCAAATCCCTTCAATTGCATGCTAATTGAGATTTTGTTTTCTGTTTTGACAAAATCATTTTTCACCATTAACATGATGATGATGATCTAGATGTCTTAATCATAGTCATGAATGTCATCATTGAATTGAGATTAAAAATGTTTTTTTAAAAACGTTGTTTCAATTTTACGAATCAAAACTTTGTGGATTTTTGAGGGGAAAAATTATATTTGAAAAACAGAAAATGAGAAATAGCAAAATCCAAGAGCAAAAAAATGAAATTCCTAGAACAATTCATTTCAAGTATTCAAGTAAAAGGATTTTGAAATTGGTTTTTGAATAAATTATCCCCCCTCCTATTTGAAATGGATTATCGATTTATCATAAAGGGTTTTCAATCCAATTCAAAAGAACGAAAAACGAAGAGAAGCGAAGAGAGAAAGAAATGTCCAAAACATTTTCCATTCATTGATTTCAGAATTAATTATACGAGATTCATTCATCGTCATCATCCACATCATCATTATAATTCAATTAATAATTTTGTTGTTGTTTTCATATGAAAAATGACCAAGTAGCGAATCGAATGTAAAAAAAATTTATGAAATTTTTTCGCAGAAAAAATTATTATTGGAACAAATTTTTACTTTTGAAATTGGCAAAATATTAGTTATTAGTTATTATCAAGGTTTTCGAAGGATAATTGAAAATCAGAAAAACAGAAAAATAAAGATCGGATTGAGAGAAAACAACAGAAAACGACGAAAACGAATTCCAAAAAAATTCATGATCATCAATAAGCATCAATAACTAAACGGACAAAAGCAAAAGCAAAAAAAGCAAATCCAGAAAAACAAAAGCAAAAGTGAAATGGAACAGAAACACAAAAAACAAGTTTTAAACAGCAGAAATGAAAATTAAAAAAAAGAAAAATCTGCATTCATTCATTCATTTGTAATTTCTAAATGGGATTCTATTGTTTTTTGTTTTGTTTAAATGAAACAAACGCACACAAACACGAAATTATCATTATCATGGTTATTGTTTTTTTTTTAAACAATTTTTCTTACAATTTTTGTTTTTTACTTGTTCCAAGTGCAAAGATGTTCCAGCAAATGAAAAAAAAAATGTTTCAAAATTATAATTTCGTTGTTTCTTTGACGCATCGAAAATCAATTTTCAAATAATCCAATTCAAAGCAAAGTAAAAACTGAAAAACAGAAAATTAATTTGTAAATCGAGAGAAAATTATTATTTTGTTTTTTTAATTGAAAAAATGCTGATGATGATGATTAATATGAAACTTTGAATTTTGCATCATCATCATCCGTTAATTGGTTTTTGTTGTTGTTGTTCAATTCATAAATACCGTACACAAATGAATGAATGATTAACAATGTTAATCATTTCATTGATGGTGGTGGTGGTGGTGGTGAAAATAAATCAGTTTTTCATTTTTTACCTTTATATGTAGATCATAAATCAAATTGGATTGTGAATGAAATGAAATGAATGAGAAATTAATCACATTGTTACAAACCAAGAGAGAGAGAGAGAGAGAGAGAGAGAGAGAGAGAGAGAGAGAGAAAAGAATTACAGAATTTTGTTTTTTTGTTTGTATACACT